CAAAAACTGACAGACTTGGAAAGAGAAATAGAAAATTAATCAATTCTACTTGGAGATTATCAGTATTCCTTTCACAGTAACTGACAGAATAACAAGATGCAACATTAGTAAGGATAGAGAAAACATAAACGGAACCAATAGCCAACCCAGTCTTTGATATGTGGAGAACACTCTACCCACAAAGAATAGCATACATGCAATTTTTAAGTACACATGGAACATTTCTCTCGTAGAAACTGCCTGCTACATGGGGTCAGCAGATGATGTGGTGGTTAAGGTACTGCCCCCCCACATGGCCGACCATAGTTCAAATCTCAGACCTAAAGGCTTGCTTTCTTACCTTCCTTTTATCTCTTTCTCTGTCTCTCACTGGGCAAATTAAAATAATAATAATAATAAATAAAATTAAATAGTTCTTTTTTTTAAAAAAAGAAACTAGCTGCTATAATATGAGGCAAGTCTCAATAAATTTTAAAAATTATTACAGTCATACAGACTATGTTGGTGTAGTTTGATTGTGTTCTTCAGGTTCATATATTGGAAATTTAATTCCAGATGCAACTATGTTGAGAGGTAGGACCTAGTAAGAGGTGATTAGATCATGAGGGCAGAGCCTTATAAGTGGATTAATGTTCGTCATTAATGTAAGTGGGTTAGTCAGCACAAGAGAGGGTTGTTATATGGGGAAGTCTGCCTCTCCTAATCTCTTTGTAGCGGTGCTTATTTCCACCTCCCATCCTTTCTCTGTAGGATGATCTTCACCAGAAGCTGATGCCATGCTCTTAGACATCCCAGCTCTCAGGACTGTAAGATATAAATTACTTTTCTTTAAAAAATGATCCAGTGTGTTGTGTTTTGTGATAGTAACAAATAAACAGACTAGAATGATCTCTTTTTTTTTTATGGAGAGGTTTTCACTATAGGGCACGTGCGCTCGCCAGACAGACAGACAGAGAGAGACATAGAGACAGAAAGCGAGAAATCACCCCCCCGGGGGGGATGGTCACGCCGCAGTCCCTTCTCCTCCATTCTCCTCTCGGGATCTTGGGCATGCACATGCGCCTGGTGTAAGTTTTAAGCCACTGGGTCCGGGACGCGACCCATGGTCGACTTTGTGGGAGTCCAGCAACATAGCCATTACGCTCACTGCTGGTTTCCCAGACTAGAATGATCTTAAAAAAAATTTTTTTTGGCTATATAGCATATGCACATGCCAGAGAGAGAGGTAAAATGAGAGCATCTGCCCATGGGGGATGGCCATACCACAGTCTCTTCTCCCTTCTCCTCTTAGAATTTTGAGCATGTATGCACACAGGCCTTACATGATTTTCAAGCTACCAAGTCTAACTGTGCAGTTGGCCATATAGGACATAGCCACCTTAAGCATCATGTCACCAGCTGGCCCAAGGCATATGTTCTTTAACCACAATGGAATCAAACTATAAATCAACAAAAGAAACAGGGTGCCAAAGGGTGGCATGGCGGTAAAACACAAGTCTGTGAGGTAGACTGACATCGGGAGGTTGCTCATTCTCAACCAGTGACCTCCCTGAGTATGCCAGGCACAGATGTGCCCATGATCCAAGTTGGTGGAGGATGGGAGTGGAATGTGGCATCAAGACCCTGATGGGGGGCGGGGGGAGGCTGCATCTCTATATATTTGTCTCTCTAATTCTTGGAATAAGTAAATAAGCTTTAAAATAAAAGCAAGACAGATGCAGACTCTTCACATATGTGAAAATTAAGCAACGTATTTCTCAATATTCATGAGTCAAATAAGCAATCATAAAGAAAACTAGAAAATATATTGAACTGAATAAAAATGAAAACATAACAGGTCAAAATTTGTACGTAGGTAAAATTGACAATTCACTTTAAGAAGCTATAAAAAGAAGAGCAAATCAAGCTCACAGGATATAGAAGGAAGTAAATAATAAAGATCAGAGCAGAAATAAATGCTCTAATAAATGCAGAATAAAAATGAGGGAAACATTAAAAAAAAAAGCAATAAAACTGAAAGTAATTCCTTTCACAAGATCAACAAAATTGATAACTATTTGCCTAGACTGACAAAGAATAAAAAAGAAGACAAAATTACGTAAATCAGGATCAAGAAAGAAAACATCACTACAGACTCTATAGGAATTAAAATATTATGAATACTGTCTCAAGAAGAAATTAAAAATGAGAAAAGAGGTATATAGAGCAAAGAAATTGAATTTTAAATTAAAAACCTTTCCACAAAAAAAACTTTCAGACCCAGAAACATTTACTGGTAAATTCTAGCAAACATTATAGTAGAAATAATACCACTCTTAGGCTCAGTGGGTGGTATAGTGTATGAGGTGCTAGACTCCCACATGCCTGACTATATTTCAAGTCCTGGACCTGGTGGCTTACTTTCTCACTTTCTCTCTTTCTCTCTCTCTCTCTCTCTCGTGAGTGCATGCACCCTATAGCGAATTTTTAAAACAATAACAATAAAAAATTAAATTAAATAAATAATTCTTTTAAAAGAAAGAAATAACACTCTTACAGAAACTATCAGAAAATAGAGAAGGAAGGAACATTTCTTCTAATCATTTTATAAATAAAATTGATGTATTAATATTATCCAGATAATAAATCTACTTAATAATAAAAGAAAACTATAATTTCACACATGAACACAGACACAAAAAGCCTTGATGGGAGGTCAGCAAGTGGCATAGTGGTTACATTGCTGGACTCCCACATGGCTGACTGTGGTTTGAGTCCCATTCCCAATGGCTTGAAACTCATACCTTGCATGTGTGTGTGTGTGCCCAAAATCCCAGGAGCAGAATGGAGGAGAAGGGATTATAGTGTGGCCATGCCCCTGGGGAGTGATCACTTTCCCTCTCTGTATCTCTGTCTTTTTGGTGAGGGCATATACACTCTAAGGCAAAAACCTGTTAATAAAAAAAATGTCTTGGGACCAGCAGTTAGCATAATGGCTATGTTGCTGGACTCCCATATAGTCGACCGTGGTTCGAGTCCCGGACCCGGGGCTTAAACTCACACCGGGTGCGTATGTGTGTGTGCCCAAGATCCCGAGAGGAGAATGGAGGAGAAGGGATTGTGGCGTGGCCATCCCCTCGGGGGGGTGATTTCTTGCTTTCTGTCTCTCTGTCACTCTCTGTCTTTCTAGTAAGCACACGTGCCCTATAGCAAAAAAACTCTAAAAAAAAAAAGAAGAAAAAAAAATGTCTTGACAGAGAATTAGCGAATAGAATCTAATAAAGAACTGTGCATCATGCACAATTAGGATTTATTCCAGGAATATACAATTACTATAACATTCAAAACTCAATGTAATACATCATATGAATAGAATACAGGACAAAATCCATGTGATTATTTCAGTAAACACACACGAAAAAGCACTTAACCAAATTCAACATCTTTTCATGATAAAAGTCCCAACAAACTAGGGCTAGAAGGGAACATCCTACATTTGATAAATGGCACTTATAAAATACCTACAGTTAATATGATACTTAGCAGCGAAAGACTCAATACTTCACCCTAAAATCCTTAAGTTTCTTTTTTTTTTTAAATCTTTTGAGAGATTTTTTTGGCTACAGGGCACGTGTGCTCGCCAGAGAGACAGAGAAAGTCAGAAAGTGAGAAATCACACTCCCCCCCCCACACACAGGGGGTGGCCAAGCCACAATCCCTTCTCCTCCATTCTCCTCTTGGGATTTTAGGCACACACATATATGTGCCTGGTGAGTTTTAAGTTGTCAGGTCTGGGGCTAGGACTCGAACCGTAGTCAACTACATGGGAGTCCAGCATAACCTTTACACTATCTGCTGGTCCCCAATAAGTTTTTTTTTTTTTTTAAATGAAACTAGAAGAAATGGAGGAAGAAAGGAAGAAGAAAAAAAGAAAAAGGTAGAAAGAAACAAAGAAGTATTTTTAGACTAATCTAATACCTTTCCTTGAAATGATGATGAGTATGGTTGTTTGAGAAGAAAAAACAGCTATGACCTTTGTTACCCAAAGTTCTGTGCTGAGACTCTATGAAGAGAGGGTGAGGGCCTGCTGTGTGGGGGTGGGTTGTGGGACAGTTATGGGCAAATGACCCATTGAATTTTTATTTGCAGATTTCTTTTTTTTCCTATATTTCCTCTGATTCTGCAATATATGATGTCTGTATACTTAGAGTGACTTTTATAATGAGAAATTACACCAATTCTGTATTGCTATGTGTCTGTCTTAACCTAATTTTGGTTGGTATATTTGTGTTCAAATATGTGCAGTGCAGCACAATTATTAATATTATTAGAATCTATTCATGGTGAACCTTCTCATGTGAGTTTTTGTAATGACTAGTGGCAAAAGAACAGTCTTTTTTGATAAAGGATGTGTGAGAGGCCTTCAAACAGTCCATGAAAAATGCATATTATAAAAAAATAAAAACTATGTGTGAATTTTAATATTTGTTTTGTACTAAAATAAATTTATACCTTGGGACCAGCAGATGGCATAATGGCTATGTCACTGGACTCCCACATAGTGGACTGAGGTTCAAGTCCTGGACCTGGTGGCTTAAACTCATGCTGGGTGCATGTGTCTGTGTGCCCTAAAACCTAAAAGGAGGATGGAGGAGAAGGGTGGCGTGGCCATCCCCCTTAGGGGGTGATTTCTTGCCTCTGTCTCTCTGTCTCTGTCTCTCTGGCAAGCACATGTGCCCTACTGCAAAAATCTCTCTAACAAATCTTTTTTAATAAAATAAAAAATAAACTCATACCTTAATTTCACTTTTTAATGAAATTTTTGAAGTCTGTTCATATTGGATTTGTTTAGAAAGAGGGTCAGGTGGCCACCTGACATATCCCATGAGAAGAATTATAAGCCGTTTATAACAGATATTTCTGGCTCTTACATCAATATTTTAAACAGGGGCTTAAGTGATAACATAGCCCACCAATTTACATGCCTAGTTGACACTAAGCAATAGACAAGTACTCCATACCTTGTTAGATGGAATCCAGATTCATAGTAAGCTTGGAGAACTAGTAATAAGTAGACAAAACATTGGTGGGTACTTTCCTGGAAAGGTGAATAATAGCACAAATCAAAATGTGGCAGGAGTGTTGGGTGGCTCTGTACACTACAGCAAAAACGCAGCTGTTTGACATTCCCACAGCTCATATTACTCATCAGCCTAATTCAACTACTGCCATAGGGAACATTAGTTACCCTTCAGTAACTAAGTTTTAGTTCCAGTCTTACTGCTAACACTACAATATCAATCATTGCTTATTAAAATAGTGTCTGTCCAGGACCAGCAGATGGCATCATGGTTATGTCGCTGGATTCCCACATGGTTGACCATAGTTTGAGTCCTGGTCCTGACCAGACAAAGGCCAGGCACGTGTGCATGCAGGCCCAAAATCCCTAGAGGAGACTAGAGGAGAAGAGATTGCAGCATGGCCATCCCCTCAGGGGGTGATTTCTTGCTTTCTGTCTCTCTCTAAAAAATGAAAACAAAACAAAAAAAAAAACAATAAAAAAAAAAAAAATCCCAACAACAACAAAAAATGGTATCTGTCCAAGAAACTTGTAGAGTGGTAATCATAGTAGCTAACATTACTGAGTACTTACAATGTGCCAGGCCAGTTCTATGTTCTTTACATGGGTCAATTCAACTGTCACAATAGCCATGTAGTAGTCACTATTACTTCCCTTCATATTTCAGGTGGGAAACTCAAGTGTAGAATGCATAAGTAATTTTCCAGTAGCTGACTAGTAAGCAGCAGATCCAACCACCTCTCTCAGAGCCTTGTACTTGATCTCTGTGTAATCTGGCTTCTAACTCAGTTACTAATATAAAAATGATAGTCAATATGCCAGGATTCTTTGGTCAGGGATTTAAACCTTTGCAAAAAAGAAGATTGGAGCTAGGAGAACTAGGAATTGTGGCAATTGTGAGCAGGACTGTATACATGTGTGTTTGCTTTTGAAGTTATAGGGCTAAAATGGTCAGATCCAGCAGGCACACTTCTGTGATGAGGGAGGTACCTGAGTGATGAGTTATCTCAGAGAATCTGGTTTAAATGGGTAGAAATGGTAACTGAATTGTAATGTGTTTGGGCTCTGCTGGGCAGCTGGACTGGGAACTGGAGGCTATCTTCAAATAGGAAATTAAATGGTCCCAAAGAGGGTGTGTGTTTTCTTTCTTTCTCTCTCTCTCTCTCTCTCTTTTTTTTTTTTTTAAGAGATTTTTGCTACAGAGCGTTTGCACTTGCCAGAGCCATAGACAGACATAAAGTGAGAAATAACACATACACCCCACACTCCACCCCAGGGAGAATGGTCACGCTGCAATCCCTTTGCCTCCATTTTCTTTTTGAGATATTGGCATGCACTGAACACACACCAGGCTTGAGTTTCAAGCCTCTGGGACGGGGACTAGAACTGCGATAGACCATGCACGAGTCCAGCACCTTAGTCGTTATGCCACCTGCTGGCCCCAGGTTGTGGGTTTTCAAACAGGAATAGAGAAGGCATCTACTGCTCATCACCAGAGGGAAACAAGCTGAGTTACATGAGACAAGTCCAGCTGATGGCTTAGAGTAAAAGGAAGAAACTCAGGACCAGCAGTTGGAGTTACGGCTATGTCGCTGGACTCCCACAAAGTTGACCGCGGTTCGAGTCCCGGACTTGGTAGTTTAAACTCACGCCAGGCACGAGTGCGTGCATGCCCAGGATCCCAGGAGGAGAAGGGACTGTGGAGTGGCCATCCTTCCTGGGGGGCGATTTCTCGCTTTCTGTCTTTCTGTCTCTCTGCCTCTCTCTGTCTTTCTGGCAAGTGCCTGCACCCTATACCAAAACCTCTCCAGAAAAAAAAAAGGAAGAAACTCTGATATGTTTTACCCATTGGTAAAGGTAGCCCTAACACTCACTCCAGAGCATCGATCAAACAAACCCATGCTGAAGACAAATGCCTAAGTGAAGTAGGGGCAGCATCCTTGTGGATCATAGGAGGAATACTTTGTTTTTTCATTTTAATTTAAAAAGATAAATAAATCTGGGCCAAAAATGTAGTCAGGGTCTGTGTGAAAAAAAGTCAGTTGGGCCTCAACCTGGAACAGACAATCTGAGAGCTAATCTCAGAGAAAAGGCACAGAAGTGCCAGATGGAACCAAAAATCCTTCCTGAGATTCCACCAAGAGATCATTTGTTTCAAAGTAACGTCAGGCCAGAAATTTGAGATCAGTCTAGCCTCGTGCTATCAGCCCAGACAGCATGGAAGCCAGGAAAAAGAACTGGAGCTGATGACTCCTCAAACTGTGCCAATGCAACCAGGAGACCTCAGTGAGATTAGGGAAAAAAAAAAAAAAAGAAAGAAAAGAAATCTGGGTTTTTGTAAACCTATCCATTTCTAGGCTCTTCTATTTTCTTTTCCTTCAGTTTATTTGTTTTGGACTATTTATTTTTTTAAATTCCATCCAAATCCCAGCTGAACCAAGAGGAAAACTGGTTTCCCACAACTAAATCAGGATAAATAATGGAACTGCTCCAGACACAAATAGAGTGAGGGAAAACCAGAGAATTTGAGGCTGAGAGAAAAGCGAGGAAGTAGAATAAGAAAGCTCTCAACAGCAGGGCATGATTACAAACCTCCCTTACAATAAAATGAAGAATTCTTACCTTATCTTTATGTTTTTCCTCGAAGTTTGTGCTTGCACAGTAGCCTCGGGTATGAGGCGAAAGAGGCTTTGTGGCTTCCCATTGTCAGGACAGGAGGAACAAATAAAGGATGGCCTCTGTGGAATTGTGGAATCTTCATTATTTCAAAGAAAAACATTTGTCTTCTCTACAGGGGAAATCCTGTCATCTTATCTTATATCTTAGAACTGTCTCTGAAATAAGTAGCCTATTGCTTTTAATATAAGGAAAAACAAGGAGCTTAGGACCTAGCCAGGTGAACTCCCTATGGGTATCCATCCAAAGGCAGTGTAGCTAAATTCAAAATCAATCCCTACAACTGTTCACGTGATTAAAATGACCGTGAAAACAAATCCTCTTTCCTGGTTTCTGCCCTATCTTTTCTTCCACCACTCTTTGTAGGATGCAGCTATCAGAAGCCTTACGAGAGAGTATCAGGGGTCAACCCCGCAGGTGAGAAGCAGAACTCATGGACTGACTCTTCTGTGAATTCCTAATACGCTAAAGATCTTTGAGGAAACCAGGAAAGGTCGATGCAACCAGCTTGCCTTCTAGCTCACCCTGTCCTGCTGACAGAGTGCCTGAATACCATGTGGGACACAGAGCTGTGCGCACAACTCTGAAACTGTCAGACATTGAGGGACTTTATTTTAAAAGTCTATTCCTGTTGTTAAAAAACACTGTTTCAAGGGACCAGCAGATGGTGTAATCATTATGTTGCTGGATTCCCACATATTAGGCCATGGTTCAAGTCCTGGACCTGGCAGCTTAAAACTCACACTGGGCACATGTGTGTGCATGCCCCAAATCCTGAGAGAATAGAGAAGGGATTGTGACATGGCCATTCCCCTGGGGGGTGATTTCTCACTTTCTCTCTCTGTGTCTCGCAAAAAATTTTTTGCTCTATGGCAAAAAATCTTGGGAGGGGGAGCGCCCTTTCTTGAGACCAGTGGATGGCCTAATGGTTACATTGCTGGACTCCCATATGATTGACCGTGGTTCAAGTCCTGGACCTGGAAACTTGAAACTCACACCAGGTGTGTGTGCATGTATGCCCAAAATCCCAAGAGGAGAAGGGATTGTGATGTGTCCATCCCCCCGGGGGGTGCTTTCTCATTTTCTGTCACTCTCTGTCTGCCTGGCAATTGCATGAGCCCTATAGCAAAAATCTGTCAAAAAAAATATACATATAAAGCAGGTGGTGTGGTGGCTGAGGCACTGATTTACCATGTGGCTGACCACAGTTCAAGTCCTGGACCTGGCAGCTTGAAACTCACACTAGATGTGTGTGTGCGCATGCCCAAAATCCTGAGGACAGGGGAGGACAAGGGGGTGTGGCTATCCTCCTCAGGGTATGACTTCTGGCTTTCTGTCTCTCTCTCTCTCTCTGTCTCTCCAGCAAGTACATGGACCTTAAAGTAAAAAAGTCTCTCAAAAAAAATTTTTTTCCAGGGCCAGCAAGTGGTGTGGTGGTAAAGGTACTAGACTCCCACGTGGCCTACGACAGTTCAAGTCCAGACCAGCAGCTTGAAAATTACACCAAGTGCACGTGGGTGTGTACATGCTCAAAATCCTGAGAGGTGAATGTAGGAGAAGGGTGTGGCCATCTCCCTGAGGGGTGATTTCTCACTTTCCCTCTCTCTGTCTTTCTCTGTTCTCCAGTGAGGGCACATGCCTTATGGTGAAAATGTAAACAAACAAGCAAACAACAACAAAATAACATTAAAGAAGAAAGGTTTTTCTTTTCTTAGATTTTGCCATAGGGCATGTGCGCTCTATAGAGAGGAACAGAGAGAGAGAAAGTAAGAGATCATCCCCCCACCCCGGGGTGGAGGCGGGGGTGGCCGCGCCTTAAGCCCTTTTCTTATATTCTCCCCAGTGGATTCTGGGCATGCATACATGCTCAGCATGACAAGGCGCTGGAACAGAGGCTCCATCAGCAGTTGACCAGGCAGGTATCTAATGCCTTAACCACCATGCCACTTGCTGGTCCCTTCTTTAAGATTTTATACATTGTCTTTCCCTCTTCTACAGATCTACACAAATGAGATCAGCAAAAATCATTATTATTTTCTGTGACTCTCTTATTTTCTGTAACTATTTTATAATCTTGACTTTCTCTTTTTCCCCTTCTATTTCTGATGCTTAGTTTTCAAACTGGCTTTCCAAAGTGATTTTAGGAATTGAACACATGCTTCATATGTGTTCCTATTTCCACTGGTCTCTTATGCAGTCTTGTCTATAATACATTCACACAACTAAATCAAAATAAAACACACTCATAAGTGAATACACTATATGATAGTATCTAAACTGATTTTTAATTTTTTTTTTTGGAGAGGGCGCATGTGCTCACCAGACAGACAGAGACAGAGAAACAGAAAGCGAGAAATCACCCCCCAGGGGGGATGGCCACGCCACAATCCCTTCTCCTCCATTCTCCTCTCGGGATCTTGGGCACGCACACACATGCACCTGGCGTGAGTTTTAAGCCACCGGGTCTGGGACGCGAACCACGGTCAACTACGTGGGAGTCCAGTGACATAGCCATTACGCTAACTGCTGGTTCCCTTGATTTTTAAATTTTAACTTAAATTCATTTGGAGATTTATAAAAATGCAGTTTAGGGACCAGGATGTGGTGTAGTGGTTAAGGTGCTGGACTCCCACGTGGTCAACCACAGCTTGATTCTCAGATCTGGCAGCTTGAAACTCATGCCAGATGTATGTGGGTGCATGCCCAAAATCCTGAGAGGAAAATGGAGGAGAAGGGCTGGCATGGCCATTCCCTCTAGTGGAGTGATTTCTCACTTCCTGTCTCTCTCTCTGTCTCTCCAGCAAATGGACGTGCCCTATAGCAAAAAAAAAAAAAAAAAAAAAAAGGCAGTTTAACAGGTTGAGAGTCTAATTAATAAAGTAATTCCCAATACACAAAGGACAGAACTGGAGGACTTTGTAATTAAAATGCAAAGGAAATGATGGCAAAAGAACTTTCTAACCCTATGTAGCCCAGAAGTTAAATAATAGAAATAAGTCCAAAAGATACAATGAAATCTTCATCTCTAGAGGAACAAAGCCAGCATAAGAATTCCATGAGGGTTTATTCCTAAATAAAATCAGGTCCTTTTTTTGCTTTATGGTTATATAATTGTATGACACCATTGCTAATGCTGCCTGCACATATTTTACCAAATCTGACTCCCTTTAACTAATAGAAAGTTCATATTTAATAAAATCTAAAATGATTAATTGTTAAATCAAAAAATGGAGAGGATGGTTATACCAAAGGTAACTGTAGCTAATTGTATCATTTTTCCTAAAGTAATACATGGCTTTACCCTTTTCCTCAATTAACAAAGAGTGGAAATTTACCAATCACACATGAACCTGAAAATTGTATCAAATGTGTGCTTAATAAACAATTGTTGTTTTACACAAGTAGAGAGAAACTGTTAAGTCTCAGACTTTTGATAAATAGCAGAAACCCACATAACTGCTGAGGACCAGTCTGACAGGAATTGGCAACGATAACAAGCAGAACAATGAATGTCCATTATCTTAGAGTTCACAGAAGAATGGTTTGGCACCTAGCCAGATGTGTAATCAGTCTATTTTAGTGTTGATCACACAAACCAATGGATTTTTCCGAATAATAGTAACTTAGGTGTGGCTCTTTTCTTTTCTTTCTTTCTTCTTCTTCTTTTTTTTTTTTTTAATAAGAGAACTTCCTGACAATTTGCCTAGAACTTAATGATAATATCTTTGTATATTTTCATAAAATGGTACATTATGCATCTAGGATAAGAAACAATAGGTCTTTAGTATCAGCCTTTTGAATTGGGGATGTTTGAGGAATTTTATTTTTAATGGTTCTCTTTTGACTTTGTTACACTACATCAAGGCTGATCTCACCTTACTCCAGATTCCCTAAAATTTGTGCTTCGTGGTACCTTACTATAATTAATTAGTTGATTAAGCCATGTTGTCCATATGGCAGATTGGTCTCTGCTATCAAAGAGCAGAGAGGAGCAGAGGCAGCTACCCAAACATCACCTACAACTTATAATGCCAGGGTTATGTATATATGTTTTTATAACCAAGTATCTGTATTTATTAGCACATTGCAGAAATTGATGCTTAATAAACACATTCCTCATTTTAACCATTCTAATTGCTGCAATATATCACAGCTAAAGTCTAACTTGTTGGTTGTGAAAATAGTCCTTAAAGCCAGATAACTTAAAGTTCTACTTACAATTGAAGCTGCCATAAAGAAGTCAAAAGATTATGTTTTATCATAAGGAAATTCTTAATTTATAACAATTAGAAATATATAAATGGATGCATTTTCAAATAGAATTTGTTAAAAGAAAAATAAACTAACTTAATAGCATTTTGACTAAAATTTAATATGATTTAAATTGGGCAGTTGTCGGACAGACAGCTCCATGGCTCCTGCCATCTAGCCATTTTGGGAGAAAGGAAGATGCCCCACTGATAACTGGGCCTCCAGCATACAAAACTCACGTAGAGAGGCAGAAGGGAACAGAAAAGGCCTTCTTCAAGAGGCAGACGGCTCCATGGCTCCTGCGATCTAGCCATTTTGGGAGAAAGGAAGATGCCCCACAGATAACTGGGCCTCCAGCATACAAAACTTGCGTGATTGAACTTACAAGTTTGGAAAGAAACCAACCATCCATCAGATGACTAGAAATCGCTGCAGGACTACAAGAAATATGGGGAAGCAGGAAAATACCTCTCCCACAAGGGAAAAGGATAGCTCCTCTTCATCCACACACAGTTCAATGGAAATCATGGAAATGTCTGATAAAGAATTCAGAACATTCATAATGGCAAAGTTCACAGAGATGGAAGAGAAGAGAGACAAGGAATTGCTGAAGAGGAAGGAGAAAGAACTTGAAGAGTTCCAGGAGGTGAGGAAATTCATGCAAGATCTAAAAGAAGAATTTCACACTTTACAAAAGAATCAGATGGAACTGTTAGAGATGAAGGCTATAATACAAGAAGTCAAAATCTCCCTTGAAAGTATTAAAAGCAGACTAGATCATACAGAAAATAGAATCTCAAATGTAGAAGAG